GGCCCCCAGCGCGAGGCGGCTGAGTCCCAGACCACAGCCTGTGGCTGTGCAGGGGCTGCCTGTGGGGTTCCTGCACATGGAGGCCGAGAGGGGCTGCCTGCCTGCCTGTCTGGCCCCCACCTGTGACACTGAAAGCTCTGCTCAAGCCACCGCCCCAGGATAGTCACACCTGCAAGCAAGACAGGTGACCGGCCCCTACCAGGGCAAGGTCCCAGGCAATGGGTCTCAGCATAGCCCATACCATCCTTTGGCCTTTTCCGTGCTTGGAAATCTTCATAAAACCTTATGAAGATAAGGAGAAAAAAAGCTATAGGAAGATATTTAACAGAGAGAAAACCACTGGGCGGTGGGCATCACAGGAGCCTGCTACGGCCACAGGAGGACACCGGCAATCACAGAGACACCAGCGGGCCGGCCAGAGGTTCACGGAGACACCAGGGGGCCGGCAGGAGTTCCCCGGGTGGTGGAACCCAGTGACAGCCGGTGTCCCCAACGTATGCAACAGCCCTATAGTCGTTGTGTAACCAGAAAGCTGCTGTTTAAATTGCTCAATAACCGCCTTTTCACAGCCCACACCGCCCGAGACACACCTGTCTGCTGGTTGCAGCTGCCTCAGCAGCAAGTGCGCTGCATTTTCACCAACTGTCGGGTCACTGTGCCTGACGGCAGAGTGTGTTCGGGCTCCCCCGAGCCACGTGGCACACACCAGCCTACACTCTGCCGTAGGCATCTCCAGAGGCCCCACTGCGGGTGGCTGCCTCGTCTGACCCTGAACCCTCCAGAACTCACAGGAAGGATCGTTAGTCTGGGCCTCTGTGTTGCTGAGAGGCCCAGAAAGGGGAGGAGGGCATGGGAGAGCTGGATTTTGACCACCTGTTCCTGCACTCATAGGCCACCATGGCTTTCAGAGTCACCACTGAGTCCTGTCATTTGCCAAATGAAGGCGTGAGGGCCCCTCAAGCTGGGGGTCACTGTGGCTGGCTGGCATGGGGACAGGTGCTCAGGGCCAGCGCTGTCCTCTGGCTGAGCATGGATGGGCGCCATGGGCCTCAGGCGTGCGTACCGGCAGCTCTGTAACCTCCACCCCAGGAAGGCAATGCCCACACTCACACGTCACTTTGGGTGGTGTAGATATGGTCAAACAGGGACTCGATCGCCATCCATTTGACTGGAATCCGGCCCTAAGAGGCGGGGCGGAGGGGTGGTAAGAAAGGCATTAGTGTCACTCTGATGCCCTGGGACCTGGGGGTGGAGGTCAGGCGTGTCCCTGTTGCTTCCAGCTCTGGGGGACGCTGAGTAAGGGCTGGTATGCTGGGAGGGGCCAGGGCTCCTCCTGACCTCCCTGGGTGTTGCCGAGAGGCTGGCGGGACTGCTGCCCACCCAGTCACAGGGTGGGCTTGTCACGCTAAGAAGCCCCAGGAAGTAATCTATAGTGGGGAGTTTCGAGGAGAGTTCTGGGGTGCCCTGGGTGGTACAGAGCAGTGCTTCTTGATGTATGGGCCAAGGACATGTCTAGAAAGCCCTGATGTTCTGAGGGGACGTGTTTTAGGGAAACCACACCCAGTGTTCCCATATCGAGGACTTCTGACACCAATGGACAGGCCAAAGACCCTTCCAGAGGCCTTGAGGGAAGACGTCTATGCATGTGCCTTGAGGGTACTTTTCTCTTGCTGCACCACAGGCCCTTATAGCATCTCCATGAGTGCCCCCCCAACTCCACAGCAGTGCAGGGGACGGCCTCACAAGCTCTTTGCAACCCAACTTGAGAAACAGCTTTTCAAGGTGAGTCTTAAGATGCAAATAAATGTAAAAGTGCATGCCCTTTTAATGCACATTTACTGAGATGCCTTTTTCTTAAGGTGACCTTCAGGATTTATGTCCTTATCTGAGTGTGACCGTCTTGGGACCATGTCTGTAGCCACACTGCAGAGTCCGGAGGCCCGGCGGCTGTCACAGCTGCCTTGTGCCTCTGCACTCCATCCAGGACACAAGGGCTCCCTGGAGGACCAGTGGGCGGAAAGTCTCCATCCACGCCCTCCATGGGATGGGGGACTTCCGCTCAGCAGTTCTGAGATTTGCTGTCGCAGTGGAAACCCCAGCAGAACTGAAACATGGTCTTCACAGCCTGGGGCAACACTGATGGCTGTTCTAGCACCTTTGAACAAAGCTGAGTCATATCAAGTTACTTATATTTTTTCTTTTTTGAGCAGAGTCTGTTCTGAATTTCTTGTGACCCTGGAACAGCCCCAAGAACTCACTCTGCCTGGGCTGTCCCAGGCAGACTGCAGGTGGGTGCTGTGATGGATAACAAGACTGAGGGGCAAAAAAGTTGCCATGGAAACAGGACAGCGGAGGAGCCGAAGTGCCCAGGGCTTCAAGGACTCAGAGAAAGCTCCCTAGAGCCAAGGCCTCCTGCCAAAGAGAACCCCACTTCTAAAGCAGATCAACCCTCTCTGCAAAGAATCACCCCCAAGCTCCTGTTTGCTTCATTTCACTCTCCTTGGAGAAAAGAGTCAAGGTGTCAAGGAAGCAGGGACCTTTCATTATGTAGAGGTGACAGTGATTAAAAGCAAGAGAAGACATTGGAGGGGTCTCAGGTCTGTTCTGAAAGGGCGGGCGTGGCCCTCAGGAAGAGAAGGAATAGACAAGGGAAAATTCCTGAACTGGCTTTCTGAAGACCCAGGGATGTGGGGATGCGGGCTAGGACACAGTGCCACACTCTACGACCTACTTCATCTTTCCAGACATTCTGAGGGTGCTGCCCCTGCTCAGGACCACGCCCTGCCCATGAACCTCCTGCCAGCACACCCCGGAACCTGGCACCTTGCTCCTCTTCACGTAGGAATCCTCTTCATAAACATCCCGAGACAGCCCAAAGTCCGAAATCTTCATCTTGCGCCCCTCGGCTACCAGGACATTCCTGGCTGCCAAGTCCCGATGGACCAGCTGGGTAGAAAGAAACAGTAGAGACCCTTGAGGACAGGGCTCGGCAGCCGGTGGGACCACCAGCCAGAGGGACACAGTGCAGGAAACGCACCTTCATCTCGGCCAGGTACTGCATGCCCCGTGAAATCTGCCAGGCGAAGGAGATGAGGTCGCCCATGGTCAAGGCTCGCTCGTCTGGGTGCTCCAGGGAGCTGGAGTTGCGGCTGCCCCCGCCGCCCACATAGCCAGGCCCCACCTTGCGGCTCTCGCGGAGGAAACCCCGCAGGGAGCCGTACTTGGCGTACTCCACAATCAGGAGGAGTGGCCCTGGAGGCAGAGAGGGCCCAGGCTGTGGGAGTCGTGGGAGGCTGCAGTGCCAGGCAGCACATGGGCACCGACACCGCCCTGTGCTGGCCAGTAAGTGGCTCCAGCCCCAGGGACTGGGAGGATGGTGAGCCACAGCCCCCTCTTAGATGGCTCACTCTCCACCCCAGGCTGCCCACGTGGGCACAGCTCTCCAGGAGGTGCCCAAAGCTGGATGGCACGGGTTCAGCCCTTCCTGGAGGGCACCCATCTCTGCTGCTGGAATCTCACAGCTTTCCACACCTTCAGTCCTGCCGCAGTACCTGCTGAGGGCTGACGGAGGCAGAGGCTGCAGACCCGCCCGTTCTGCCCAGGCCTGGCTGGGGCTCTCTGTGCCCCTGGGAGACCCGCCCCCAGAGCA